TGCCTCAACGTGAACAATGATCATAAGCTCTCGTGTTCCCTCTCATCGTCAAAGAGCCCGACCAAAGCAAGAGGCCTCTGTCCTTCAGTGTCCCGTCCCCGTCCCAGTTCACAGATCTTCCCCTGGCCGATTCGAGGCCCCTTGTTGATGCAGGATACCCTGTTAGCCACTACGGACCCCTGAGCGATTATAGGAGCTCGACCCATGTAAATCGTCCGCCCGACATTGTCCGGTCTTGGGAAATGGGTCTCCAGAGCTTAGACCAACACGGAGCCCACTGTTCGTTGTTCGTGATCTCTGGCCGAACTTGAGGAACGAAGTAGGGGTACCTATCGCCGTGTAGGGATGCATCTGAAATCTTCTCCTGACTGAATCGAAGCCCGTTGTGGATACTGAATACCCTGTTAGGTACTGTGGATCCCTGAACGATACAGGAGCCTCGAATTGTTGCAGGGGCCCTGACCAATGCAAATCGCGGGCCCGATCGTGTCGCTGCTTGGGAATGGTCCCCAGGGCTCAGACCGGCACGGAGCGGACTGTTCGGTGTTGATGATCTCTGTCCGAAACAGTTCCTGGATGACACGGGGACCCTTGCCGCCACAGGACCCCTGTTGGGCACTGTAGCCTCTGACCGACACAGGAAGCCCTCAGGGCGTCAGGAACCCGAACATTGCAAATTTCTGGCCCGACCCGGTTCCTGCTTGTCAAATGGGGGGTCTCCAGGGCTCGGATGGGCGTGGGAGACGGCTGTTTGGCTCCAGTCAAGGTCTGATATGACAGGGGTAGAGAACACTTGTAAGAAGGGCCCTTCATAAAGCCCCCCGACTCATGTTTCAGGTTCACGGAACCACGGGTGGCGGGTGGGGGGGGGGGCTTAAGTTCCATCGGGTCCTTGATCTTTGGTGCCAAGAAGACCTTCGGCCCCTTTTCGGACCTCCTCAAACAAAGCCCGTGGACGGACCAGGGGGTCGCTAGCCGACACGTGACGTCCTGGTATGTACTGTGGGTCCCTGACTTACACGCGGGCACCATCCACTGTTTCAGGAAACCCAGAACAGCGAAATCGTGGCCCCGGCCTTGCTACTGCTTCGGAAATGGGTCCCCAGGGTTCATGCTGAAAGGAAGCCAACTGTTCGGTGTTCGTGGTCTCTAGCCGACTTAGACATCCGCAATGTCTTAGGGAGTCAGCAACCGGTGCAAACTAACTCCTGACTGATATTTCAGGCCACGATCCTACGGGCCGTGATTCTCCATGTGAACTACAGGCCAGTCCTTCGGGCCCTTATGCCCTGCAGCTGGGCGTTTGATAGCTGGTTTGCCGTTGGGCCACTCGAGCCTCTCTTCGAACCTCGTTGATCACTGCCCTTGGTGGGCTCTGGGTCCCTTGCAAGCCCCTTGGCCCTTTACAAGGCCCCTGACAGATAAAGGGGCCCCAATCAGTGTGAATCTTTGGCCCCGTCTTGCAGCTGATTGCGAAGTGTGCCCTCAAGCTCACGCCTGCACGGTGCCGACTGTGCGGTACTGGTGGTGCCTGACCAGCATCTAGACCCTTATCGACTCAGGGTGTCCGTGACCGGCGCAAAGTGTCCTCTGACTGTCATTTGAGGGTCCGCTCCGCAGGCCGGGATATATGGATAAGACTCCGACCAGCCCTTCGTGTCCTTAGACCCTCCTGTCGAGCCCTTGATTGTCTGACCCGTTGGGGCCCTCCAGGCTCTACGGGCCTCACGTTCTTCAAGCATTGTCTCTGGCTGACGTGGGGCCTCTTGATAGCACAGGGCCCCCGTTACGCGCCGTGTGGCCCCGATTAATGTAAATCGCTGGCTCCGGCTTCGCTCCTCCTCGGGAAATGGCCCCTCAGGTCCATGCCACCACGGAGCTGACTGTGCGTTGCTGGTGATGCCTGACCGCTATATAGGCCCTTATCAACTCAGGGGCACCCGATTTGCGCGCGAGGCCTTCTGGCTGGCATTAGGGGGCCTGGCCCTGCAGGCCGGGGCCCTTCAGTACGATCTCCAGTTGGTCTTTCGGCCCCTTAATTTAAGATCTCAAGGAGCCTGAAGGGTTTCTCGGAAGTTTACGCGATAGTTTGCATAATTCTTTGCGTGCTGTACGCCAATCCACCCTGCCGTCAAATTCTTAATGACGTCATGATATCCGCGTGGCAGACGTAGTCAAAATGTGGCTATCACCACCCTTCTACCGGAAATGCGCAACCCGGAGTCACTCTGATGGGGAGAATTGTTGGGACCGGGCAGCCTGCGGGGTCTGTTGCGCATTTGATTCACGTTCATTGTTGAATGAATATCCGACACTTATCACCGAGAAATATCGATGCCGATCGTGTCTCCCTGGCGGCTGGATAAAACCACAAAGGGTTTCCAGCAGTTAACAGTGCACGACTGTCAAAGGTGCTTGCGTCCCTCAATGCTGACGTTCATTTCGTGGGGGTGCATCTGAGAAAACCAGGGATGCTCAATTTCATCGAAAGCGTTGCCAATGTTTGAAACAGGTAAGGCCAATTTTATTGAAAAGCACTTGTTTGCCTGTGTAGGTAGTAGTTTGCTTCTAGGTGTGCATGCCACACAGGTTTGGTGCTGGTTTCCTCAGCGCATCTGGCCTAAGATTCCTTTGTTTGTTGCAATGACAGTTTTTGCCACAAACGCAGCTTTTTCGAACCAAACAAGTATCCTGAGGTATTTTCTGTTGTCATAGAGTATCATTGTGGAGGTGTAGTCCTACCATGCTAAGCCAGGGATTCAATTACATGCAGTAACATGGGGTGTGATGACCTTAAGCTATTAATTTTCATGACTGGTATGTGTTCATGTGATACTGTGATAAGTAAGGCTAGCGACTTTGAGATAATTCTGTTTGTTTTGGTTACTTGGCAGTGGTTTCATGTTTTCTGGAGTAAGCTGGCTTTTTAAATTATTTGTTGTGTATTTCAGTATTTTGCATTGAACTACCAATATCATAGCTTTTTATTTGGATTACTAAAGAACCCAATTATTATCATATATCATATCAATTATATCATATCATAATTATTACCAAGAGCATGCAAGGCAGTTACTTTTATCACTTAAGTGGTGACATTATGGAACTCTGAAATCTTTTGGTATTTGAATAATGAATGGCTTAAGTTTTATGTACTTTTGAATTGCCATGTTATTGAATACCTGATGGAATCATGACTGAGTAAGATAATAATATAAGTCACATTCCTTGGAAAACTAGGAGAATTGAGATATGGTTGGGCTGATATTTCAGCAACAAGCCTTCATTGAAACCAGAGCACAAGTTTTGCTTCAACCTGTGCTCTTGTTTTGATGAAGGCATGTTGCTGCAATATCAACCCAACTATGTCTCTATTCTCCTGGTTTTCTGAGGAATAGTTCTAATACTGCCATCTTATCCATGTGAATAATGTTCCTCACTAATGCACTGAACAACTTATTGAATAATGGCTGATTATATATTAATGAGTATTTAGTCAAACATTCTAGTTTAAAGTTTGTTAGTGTTGATGCTGCATAAGCAAAGAGATGGTGATAATGTGGGATGCCATATGCAGGTGTCTTACCAGCTTAATGGAATAGGCAGTTTTACATAATTGAGCCATCAGCATGCACCCTGTAAGGCCTCTGATTTTCCTTTGCAAACTGGAGGGCAAACCATATCTTCAAAGCAAAGCACATCTTCCCTGATGATTTTAAGCACTGAAAGCTAGGAGCACAAAGTTGTTATGTGGTGTAGTACAAACAAAATATATTCATATTTGTTTCAGTCATCATTGTTGGTTGTTGCATTGCTAGGCTGCAAATGTAATATTATTTGAGCTTACTACCACACTTGATAAAATACACAATGGAAATGCTTAGAAGACATATGTATTGGGCCCATATCACCATGCATTATTGGTTCATTGCACTATTTTCACTAGCACCTGATAGCTGTTTAGTCACCTAACTAAATGTTTTAAGATAAATTGTATGTGTTCTTTTCAAACTACACCTTATGTTTTTCAACTCTTCAATCTTTAACACACTTTAAATCAGTAACTATCTCAGCTGAAGACACTCAACACAAAAATAATCCATATATGTCTTTTGTATGGTTATATTCCATATGTAGTGCTATGGAGGGAGGTCAAGAAAGAAGATACTCATTCGGCTGAAAAGGAGAAAAATTAGATGACATGCTTGTGATTTTGTATGTATGTACCTTGAAATGTGCTATAGAAAATTGTGAAATGTCTATCTTTGTGATGCAATCATTACCTCGAACCGAGTTTGAGAAGAATCATGTGACAAGTTTTTTCATGGTTGCCTGAAGGTATATCCAATTTTTGTAAATGCCTGGCTTTGATGGGCCATTCATTGTTAAGAATCAATATATATGTTACACCTTTAGTCATTCAGTGATGAATATTTAGTGTTGCTAATAAAATTCTTATGACAATTTATCTGGTGTGTGTCAAGGGAATTATTTATCTGCAAGATGCTTGTAGGTCATAATTGAATGACATGGATGGCTCACAATAGCAAAGATTGTTTGCAAGGACATGATCATTGGCATTGGTGGAGTTGTCTTTTGGTGCCTGTGCACTTAGTGAACAAGCAAAGCAACAAGCCAAGAAGAAGGAAGCCTATGCAAGGTGACTGCCCTGTGATGTGCTGGGTCGGCGGGTGTGTACGTGGATCAGCTGGAAGTCGTGAGGACGTCCCAGGACTCATGTGTGGGGGGCGATCGCCGCTCGCTCGGCGCGCCCGTGTCCGGTGGCGGAGAGCCTTCAGAGCCTAAGTGCGGCCTCTGTTTTAGGTGCTAGTGGCGCGGACCGCGTAGCCGGGGACGCCAGGGGGCGTGCAGCACCTGCAGCCGGCCGGGAGAGGCTCCACCGGCCGTCCGATGGGGGGCACGGTGTCGCGCGCCGGACGCACCCTGTTCGGCGGCGAGTCGACCGGGGGGCGGCGGCGGCGGCGGCGACGCTGGCGCCGCCATGCGGCCGCTGCGCACGGCCACGGCCCTCGTGCTGACGCGTCGCGGCTCCATGTACCTGGACGAGGACGGCGACCTGGCGCACGAGTTCTTCGAGCAAGTGCCGGCCCGCCAGCCGGGCAGAACGCGCATGCGCCGCGTCAACGTGCGCCGCCTGCGGCCGCAGGGGCTGGTGCGCTACGGGGTGCCGCGGCTGCACGTGGACCCGGTCGTGCTGTACCGAGACTGAAGCGGCGTGATGCTCCTGGGGCCAGACCGGACTCCAGTGACCGCCCGTGCAATCAGGAGAGGCGTGCAGGGATCTGGCGCGCGCGCCGTGGCAGGTTGAGCTGTGCGGCTAGTCCGGCCTAGGTACGGCGCGCGGCCAGCAGCGCGGTGATAAACAGCTTACTCAAGCGCATTGTGGTATAATTTATGGACGAATGGAGCGGCGCGTCGGGATGAACCGCCTCGCAGCGTGCTGACGTAATGGGTTGCCACTTAATACAATTTCTGTACGTTCGTGCGGCGGTAAATATTCGTTGTAGCGGTGCATTTATGGTTCAAGTTTTTTGGTAGTTGTGCTGCGTTGTAGTACTCCTTGTTTGAAACGCTAAGTGTTTGCAAATAGAGCTACATCTGCTAAATTTACGTCCGGGCGCAGTGAGCGGTTAAACATCCAAGTTTCTTTCGTCAGCGGGGTTCATTCCGCCTGCTTGATGTGGTTCTGTAAACTGCATCGGGTCACTCCTCGACAAAGATCAATGTTCGCAAAAGTTGTTCGTACCGATCATTGATCGGTGTTTGCACGCGTGGTTGTGTCCTACGATCGTACATTACGGTTGTGACTGGTGTGCGCGGCCCCTGGTGCGATGTAACGGCGTGGAGCCATATCCTTGGTGAACGGCGAATAGAATACACGGAAATGGCCACATGCTTCTTTGAATGGCTCCGTGGTAAGCTGACGAGCTGCGGCCTCCAGACTTGGGACTTGCTTGGGCGTATGAGCGTCTGCAGTCTTGTACGGATGACATGAGTCGCGTGTTGAGGACGGGCAGCGGCCCCTGGCTGATGGAACAACCTGTCTGCTGTTCTCTCACCTCGCCTGCTGTTTTCTGCACTTTGCACTTTGGGCTTTGCACTCTCCTGCACGTCCGGTTGTAGAGCACTTGTGAAAGTACCGCGGCAGGTGCCAATGTAGAACGCTTTGAGAGAGAGCACCACGGCACAGAAACGTCATCGGTGAAGCACAGCCAGCGCCTCGCGTGGCTGATGAAGTTCTCTGTCGTGCTGATCGCTGTTGGTTGTGTGGCCCCAAAAGGAAAGCAAATCGTATATTGAAGAGATCGTGGCGGGTTACGCTTTTCGGACACTGAGCCTGATAAGACTAACGAACCCACTCTTAGCCGCGAAGGCTCCTGCATTGGCCGGGAAAAGGCACTGGAAACGTTAGGCGTACAGTGTGTTGGTTGCATGAGTGCACACTTTTTGTATGTTGAGAAAATCACGTCGGTTATCAGGAAAAGGTACGCAAGTTCGCTGTCGCTGATTAAAATGTTTTGTTTTGAATAGTAAACAATAAATCTGGGCCCAAGATATACTCGAGCCATGAACTAAAATGTCACTCAGCTAAAACAGCACAGCTGGAGGGCCTGGCCTCGTCTACCCCAACGCCAGGCCCTGCCCGGTGATCGCACGTGGCCGACCGTGCTGTCCTGACGGCCGGCGCCCTCCGACAGACGCGCGTGCTGAATGCCCTACTGCCGCCCTGCGCCCTGGTGGCCGTGGCTGACCTGGTGGCCGAGCCGGCGGCGCGCCGGCTCTCCGTCTCGCAGTGCGGCCGCGGCGAGCACACTTACCTGCCGGCCGAGTCGCTTGAGCCGCCCTCGCCGCCGCAGCCGGCGCCGCGCGCTGCCTTCGCCGACGCCCGGCCGGCGCCGAGCTCGCGGACGGGTCCGAGGAGCGTGGGGCGAGCACGGCGGCCGGGGCGGCGCGAGGTACCCCCACGCCGCCCCAGTACTCGGCCGTCAAACGAGAACAGAAGGTGAGGGCCAGGCGCGGTGGTGTTACGCTCGGCTGGGAGACCTTGTTTAAGTGCCCGATATGTACTCGGCTCATTGTACATTACGTTTGGTTTCGTGGAAGAGGCTGCTGTGCTAGCAACTGGGGGCCTGTGCTTGGGCGCAGTAGCTTTGTGAAAGTCAACCGCTACATGTGCTGAAAGTGTCTCATAATTTGTTGAATTATTAATACGGGAAGAGTCAGTGTAGCGAGTTCCACTGTTCGGCCGCGTCACCACGGCTGGAGGAGATGCGCAGGCAGGCTGCGCGTTTCAAGATATATCGGTCTCGAAGGTCCCGTGCCGCAGTTTCAGAGTGTGGACGATCTGAACTCGGCGTCACCGCCCCGCGGCCACTCGCGGCTGCACGTGTCGGCGCCCGACCTGAACCTGCCGAGGACGGCGCGGTGGCGCCCGCTGCGCCCCGCCTGGTGGCGCCACCGCCGCCCAGTTACGCGCCGCCGGCGGAGGATCCCCGGGCGACGCCTGGGGCGGGGACCACCGGCCGGCCGACGCTCAGGCCGTGTACGACGCGCCCCGCCAGCAGACTACGGTGAGATGCATCACAAGACAGGGAACTTGACTGGCTGGATGTGGTTCAGCAGTACCTTTGTGTGAACGATTCTTGAATCGCCCAAGTAGTTGCGTGGTTCGTACGATCACGTATTGCCAGCAGATTTGGAGCCGAAGTTGTCTGCCGTGGTCTTACAGCCCAAAAACTTTCTGCGAAGGGCGATGTTTTCTTTCAAGCGTGGTCTTTTTGTTGACTTACTACACTTGCGTCTAATGTGGCCGCTTAGCTGGTTCCAGATGCCATGCAGTCAGCTCTTGTTCTGAAGCGTTATCTTGTAGTGTGGTCAGTAAGCGCCAGGTCACACATGCTTCCTGCAATGAGAGGAACCCAACACCTACTGGTGACAAGTGGGACTGCCGAGGCGGCGGCTGACTGACAGCCTACCCCGGCGCCCGTGTCCAGATGGCTGTGCCCGTGGACCAGCTGGTGAAGAGATAGCGGCACTGCGTCGGGACAACTACCAGCTGGCGTCCATATGGTGCAGCAGGCCCAGGCAGCCAGCCACGCCGACAGCCGCAGCGGTCGTCACCTCAGCAAAGTCGTCTTCATGCCCGCGGCAGTCGCCATAGGCTAATGCCCATTCTTCTTCCAGTTTGGCGTGTTAATGTCTTCGTATTTTTGTGAATTTTCCCGGACCTTAACGAAGTGGTGTTCAGAGGCGATTTGAATCATGGAAGTAATGTACAGGGGAGATAAAGCGAAATATGAAATACAAGACATTAATCCAATCCATTGAACGTGAGAGAGGCCGGGAATAATCCAGTGTCAACAGTTCAATCACCCAAACAAATCCTTGGTTTTCCTCACTGCGCTCGTTTTGCAGCAACCCTCCCCCCGGTGCTTGCAGCGCCACGTTATGCGCTGCCTGACGAATCGGCCTGTGCTTCGGTTGTCTCCCCGCCACTGGGATACGCCGCGTATTGAGCACCGCGGTCCTGGTGTGACCGGCGTGACCTTGCGCGGCATGGCGTCTGACCATCAGCGGAGCATGCGGAGGAGAGCCGGCGCCGCCAGGAGCCGCGAGCAGCGGGCCGCGCGCCGCCGCACGGCCGGCCTGGAGCGCGGCGGCCGAACCGCTGGCAGAGACAGGGCGCCGTCTGGGCGGGCCGAGAACGCGCAGCTGCGAGCCACGCCGAGCCGTCAGGGTCCGCCGTCAAGGGCTGATCGTCGGACAGCGGGGGTCGCTGGGGGTGGTCACTGGTGGAGGGAGGGGTGCTCGCTAGAGCGCCGTGGTACGATCACCAGAGCAGGGAGTAGGGCTAGTGTTGGAGCAGAGGGGATACTTACTGGAGCGAGGAGGGTGCTCGGTAGAGCAGAGGCGGTGTTCACTGGAGCGGGGTGGGGGTGCTCATTGACCAGAAAGGGACGCTTAATGGGCCGGGGAGTGTGTTCACGGGACCGGAACGTTGTTCGCCAGGCCGGGGAGTGTGCTCGTAGGGCCGAGGAGTGTGCTCGTAGGGCCGGGGAGTGTGTTCGCTGGGCCGGAGAATGTGTTCACCGGGCCAGGGAGTTTGCTCGCTGGGCGGGGAAGTGTGCTCGTAGGGCCGGGGAGTGTCTTTAAACAGACCGGAAAGTTTGCTCGCTGGGCCGGGGATGTGCTCGTAGGGCCGGGAAGTGTGTTCACTGGGCCGGGGAGTGCGCTCCCAGCAGCTGTTCCGGCTCGGCGGCCGGCTACGTTGTCTGACCGTGCGCGGCGGCAGGACTCGGCCGTGCTGCGTCAGCTGGTGGTGCGGCTCAGCGAGCAGCTGTCCCGCCGGCTGGGGCGGCCGCCCGTCGACCCCGGGCTCCTCAGCACGCTGACCGACGCTCGGCGCCTGCCGCCGCTGCTGGACGCGTATGATCAGGTTCGACCACCTCCGCTCAGTCAGGGACCCCGGTCCGACTTACCATCAGCTGGATGATCTCGGGCTAGACTGAGCATTCTTCGGTAAAGAATAGACATTAATAATGACCATTGTGTAGAGTATATTATATCTGCAGCTGAGGGTACCCCGAACTCTGTCGCTGGGTTGGCCACTAATTGTCATTGGATGTTGAACGAATCATTTTGTTAATGCCTAGCTTTCTTTCATATGGCATGGGATGTATTCTGTGGTCTTAGAGTCTTTACGATGTAAGTGAGGGCCCGTCCCTGCTCTCCTCTTGAGACTGAGCTGCTGAGCCAGAATTCTACTGTGCATCGTCCTGCGTAACCGAGGCGGGCCGCACCGGTGGCCGAGCCCGGCCGCGTCGGTGACCGAGCCCGGCCGCGTCAGTGGCCGAGCACGGCCACGTCGGTGACCGAGCCCGGCCGCGTCGGTGGCCGAGCCCGGCCGCGTCGGTGACCGAGCCCGGCCGCGTCGGTGGCCGAGCCCGGCCGCGTCGGTGGCCGAGCCCGGCCGCGTCGGTGGCCGAGCCCGGCCGCGTCGGTGACCGAGCCCGGCCGCGTCGGTGACAAGCTGCCACTTCGTCAGGTGGTGGCGGAGCTGACCGAGCAGGCCGATACGCTGCGCTCGCAGCTGAGCGAGCTGCGCCGCCAGCTGGACCAGGTTACGGACGAGAACGAGCGGCTGCACACGCAGGCGGCGGACGCCCAGAGCCAGGTGGGGCGCCAGGAGCGCGCGCGCCGTCGCTGGTGGAGCCGCGCGCCACAGCCGCTGCCCGGCCCTGTACCGTGGATTGGTCACCTCGTGCAGCGGGAGAGGAGGCACATGCCTTCACTGGTTGATCAGTGTGGTGAAAACTGGTGGCGTAAATTTGCGTTGCCGCTGTGTTATGCATTGCCCCGGCCTCTGCAGAAGCGTTCCACACCATGGTATTCAATTCCGCGAACGGTACTGTAGCGTGACTTAAACGATTTTCTCGGCGCATTACATGATTGCCTGGCCCTACTTTGAACGCCATACTGTGAGTTCGTTCTGTGCTGCACGCCGTGAGTACTTGGAGCAAATGTTCGCAAAGTTTGCTGGTTCAGTTCGCATAGCAGCCGTATTTAACTTTCAAGAACAAACTCATGAGTATTCCTCCACTAGGGTGACACAGGCCCATTCCTGTCCTCCGGCTGCTTGCTTGTGGTGTTTGTAATACGGATGGATTTAGGACGACTGTTTTTATTCATAACATAAACTAAAAA